CAGGATCGAGAGGTGAGCGAACGCCGGTATGTGTTCGCTCACCTCCCGATCTACTGAGCCGACCTGTGACAGTCTCATTGTCACAGGTCGGCTAGAACTATGAGGTGAGTGAAAAGCACTCACCTCATAGTTCTCCTTTAAAGTGAAATCATATAATGAGAGGGCCTTCACATTTAAAGCAGTACAAGCTTTATTCCCCATACTGCAGAGATTAAATCAAGTTGGTCGCCGTTGCAACACAAACTAAGAAATATCTTTTCTCAAACCCATCAAACAAGCTTGAGGGAACGTTCACCCATGTATAACAGAGGTTTCCAGTTTATTTCAGAGGATACAGCACAGTAGCTGACTTTCTGTGTGCCAGAACTACAGAGATGGAACCCAGGCCAACCCTATGATAAGATCTAGGCCACTGCGGCAGTCATTGTGAATGCAGGAGCAGTTGTTTTAGGGAATAGGTTTTTTAGATACAGTGGTACTGTATATCCTTTTGTACATGTCACCAATATTCCACACAATGTTAGAACTTTGGGAAACAATGGCAAGGCTTTTTGTGTTGAAATTGATCATTATAAAATGACACTGGGAAAAAACTGTAGACATGTATGTATTTTCTCTGTCCTTAGACGTTCAGCACTAGGCAGGAAAACGATTCCCCTCCCCTGAGATATACCCATGAGACAGGAAGCTGGCTCACCAATTTCAGCCTAGTATGTGAGGAGGTCAGACTGTGTAGATTACATTCAGATAGAAAAAGGTCCATCTTACTATCTGTACCATCAGGACAGAGGCAAAGTAGTGTAGTCTAACCAGCCTACTGAGAAATGTCCACCGAAAAAAGAATGCCACTGGTCCTAATACCTAGGAGTTGGCTATGCATGCTAGGATTTGAGGTTGTACAGCAGCACCATGTACCACTCCCATTCTGCTGCGCCCACGGGCTGCTAATGAATGGGAATCTGCAAGGCCAGTGGTGGTCACATGATCGCCACATGGCATTGGAGATAATGGGAAAAGTAAAACAAAAAATAAACAGGGGCAAAAAAAACCCGTAAGCAGAAAGCTGTGCTTGGAGCTGAAAGGAAATGGATTAGTCAATTTGGTTCTGCAAAACTATTCTCTATTCTTCAGGTGGATGAGAAGAACGTTGGGGAGCCAGGCTGGTTGTACGGCTGCTGGAGTGGAAATGTGGGCTGGTTTCCATCCAATTATGCGGAAAGATTGGCAGAGGCTGAGAAATCATTGTCTCCTAAGAAGGCCTTATTGCCTCCATCCATCTCTGTGTCATCTACCTCAGCACCAGACAAGTAAGCGATGTAAACTCAAATTCATTGTAAATGGAAGAGCCACCAAAGGAGAATCATTAAACCGATTGCTTCATCCTTTGTACAGTTGTCTGTTAAGCCCGCCTTGTAAAATACTTTACTTGCTCCCGGGATGGACTACAATCTCAATACAAATTAGTAAACTAAACATGAGACTGTAGTCCGTCACAGGAGCGAGCTTGGAGCAGTGGCTACTTTACAACACACACAGGGACCATGGGGAACAAAAGTAGCCCCCCTCCAGAAGGAAGGACAGTGTCAGCACCAATTCAGAGATGATTGGAGAATCTACAGCCGAGTGATACACAAATAAGATACATTCTTGTTAATAGTTAAGGTACTTGAATGTATTTTTAAGATTTAGATCCTGAGTTTAGTGTCATATTGATTATATTACAGAAGTGATACAACTATTGTGTTTTGGGACAAACAAAATCAGTTTTAACATTATATGGAGTAACGACCCATTTAAAAATCCTGTGTCCCATTGGGGAGATTTCTCTTCATTTCCGGTCCCAATAATACAACAGGAAGTGAAAGGAAGTTCCATCTTTGACAGTTTTCACCAAAACAGGTGTCTCCCTTTGGAAGATCTACCCTAACGTTTTGGATTTACGATCTTTTTTTGGCCAACTGACAATAGCTACCTCCTACTCTTCATAAAATGAGAATTTAAATGTTTTTATGTGAAAAATCGCAAAATGTTTTGTGAAAAAAATATCTAAGGAGAGCAGAGAGAGGATAGAGTTAATTTGGACTAATTAGGGGATAACGAGGGGTTAATCGATAGTTAAATAGGAGAGACGTTTGTTGGGCTGTTATGACATTATAAGAAAGTTTTGTGGTAACTGTGTCCAGCAATATTTGATATTTTTTTAATTGTTCTTTTTCTGAACATTTTCAATCTTCAGGTCGCTCTCGCCAACGAAACCCTCAGAAGGGGATAATAAGGAGTATCCAAATATGCCTTTCTCTAGCCTTAATGTCAGCTCATCATGGCAGAAGACATCTGCATTTACACGCACTATCTCTCCAGGCTCTGTCTCTCCTATTCACGGGCAGGTAGGTGTTAGAAAGGTGTCAGCGTTGATTTCAGCTTTACGTTAATATACATAGTGATTTAATTCCAGCCTTTGCCATGCAACAGGAAGGTAAGGTGGCCCAAAGGAAACCTGCACAAATACAGGAAGGATGTACTAAAGCCCATGTACGTTGTGTCCCTGGTGGGTATTGAGCGTTGGATCCCAATATTGCAAAGCAGCTGACCACTTAAACAACTCTAGGGATAACTTTTATTAAGCCTTGCAGTGGGGACTACCCCCTGTGATGGCAACGCCTGTACTCCGACTGGATACGCCACTAGAGCTCGCTTCCTGTGCACTGGAACTAACCAATGAGAGAACCAATGTTAGGGTGAAAGGGGAACTAACAGAATCTCTTCCCGCACACCTCACTCTCTCCCAGTTGCCTACATTCACCCAGTCACTGGTCAGGACACAGTGTAGGGGAGCAAACGTGTGAACATTTTATTGAGCAAGAACTCACAGATCCCACCTCCCCTCGGTAAGATTACATTATTTTGATGAAATTAACTTTTCTGGAAAATAGCTAAAAAGGTTAACAATAAAAAGATTATTATTAAATAAAAATATTATCAAGGTGATCGTGTCAGCAGGCTCATCAAAGGGGAAGATGTAGTTCTCTCTGCTGGGGGCCTGTGTGGGGGAAGTAGTTTAGACTTAGGGCCAGCAGAACATGGCACACAAAATGTCCGCCGAGAGTTCCATAAATTTGGTAATAAGTCCTGCTGGTCCACGTTCCAGCCGGTGGGCGTATGCCCTAAATAAGCCCGTACGGGTGTTCCATGGAGCAGTTCAGATTTTAGGTCCCCGACTGGCAATTTGAAACCTTAATCCAGGCCTGGGTCCATAGTCCCTGGCTACCTCCTCACTGCAAGGGTTTAGTGCTCTTTTTCATCTAGGGACAAAAATAACAAAGTTATACCCACCCAATCGTCTGAGCTGGCTGGCTCTTAGATTGGTCTTTCCAGCCTCACTCCCTCTCCACCCTAGTTGTCTAAGGATCCTTGAGTCATCACGTTCTATATATTGCTTATAGGACGTGAGGATGCCGAGGAACATGTCATCGCTGGAGCGCAGGAAGACACAGGCTGTAACAGCCAGGCAGCTGCAAGGTGAGTATAACTTTGTTATTTTAGCGCCTAGACCTAAAGGAGCGCTTAACCCTTGTAGTGCTGGGGTAGCTCCACTGCAAGGGTTAAGAAACATTGTGCCCGGAGTTCCACTTTAAGACCACCAACTTCCAGTCTGCTGATACTCTTTCTTGGCTGGATTTACAAACAATTCAGCCCATTCACAACAGATGAAGGGGGGCTTCCTCCATTGTGAATGGGCTGAATGTTTGTAAACACCACTAGCGTTTACACTATTGATAGCTGTGATTGATTCAAAGTGATCACAAGGTACAGAGCCACTCTCATTGTCTCTGTGCATCTTGACTATGATCTTAGCTGTCCAATGACGGCACATATCACAGACATTCATGGGCACATTGGCCCCCCAAGTGTGTTTTCTAGAGCACCATTTACACATCCATCTCCCTGCCTTTATTTTATACAGTACAGATATGTCATCAGGAGCTGGCTGTGTCTTCCTGCTACTCACAGCCAGCCCCCTGATTATGTGTAGCCAGATCTCACGCATGTGCACACGAAGATTTTGCACCGTGTAATTTTGTTATAATGTTGCTATGCTGTCTGAGGGAGATATCACAGGATTTCATTAAAAGAACTGAGGTGAGTGAAAATCGCTCACCTCATAGTTCTAGCCGACCTGTGACAATGAAACGGTCACACGTCGGCTCAATAGATCGGGCAGTGAGCGAACACATACCGTCGCTCGCTCACTTCTCAATCATCTCCCTGCAGAGAGCCCTGACTGTCACTCACGGCTCCAACGCTGACTGGAGGAAGGGGCTGGGGAGGGGGCGGGTACAGCTGGCTCTGCCTCTAGATAGGCAGAGCCAGCTGTCACTCACGCAGCTGGGTGGATCTCGACAGCAATGTCGGGATCCGTCCCGGCTGCGGCGGTCTCAGTATATCGCGGGCTGTAGCTTGCATATACTGAGCTTTGGGTCGCGGGAGGACGCTAGTATATGTCCTGTGAGCCTTAAGAGAACTAAGGGGAAAAACACTTACCCCATAGTTCTCTTTTACATTCTATGGGCACACCACAGTGCGATGCAGTTGTACTGTGTCTCACTGCGGCGCACTGAAAAAAGTACTGCTGCGCCAAACCCATCAAGGAAAAAAGCCGACTGTTAGCATGTCCTCCATTTATGTATTATGTTGCTACTTCATTTCTACAGATTATGAAGTTTAGCTTCACCCTGGAATAGTATATTTTTATTTTTGATTTGTTTGTCATGTACTTTTCTGTGCTGTGAGGTTTTTTTTTATGAGGATCCGTAATGTCGGTCACTTTGATGAAACTGTAGATGTCTTGATCGAATCATGTCTGGAACCTGTTGCAGGGTCAGCCGGTGGAGGCGGTAAAGGCTCAAGCACTGTGCTCATGGACTGCAAAAAAGGACAACCACTTGAATTTTACCAAAAACGATATCATCACCGTGTTGGAGCAGCAAGAGAACTGGTGGTTTGGCGAGGTTCGGGGGCAGAAGGGATGGTTTCCTAAATCCTATGTGAAGATTCTACGGGGAAGGGAAAATAAGACCCCTGAGTGAGTAAAATCATGTACCTTTATGATCAATAGGTGAACCTGCATGATAACCCACCAGGTCAGAGGACAGCAGAATAGAGATGAATATTGTAAGTGACACTTAATGACAAGTTTACATTACTTCCTTAATAGACGAAAGCTTGAATTTTAAAGGACACCCTTCATTTACATTGAATTATTAAATATACAAGCTGTCAGGATCCCTTGTCTCCTTTTGTCAGGCTTCCTACAGTTGTATAAAACATGAAGAAGGGATCTAAGGTATTCTGAAATTTAGAAGTGGCAGCTGTCACCTCTTGAAGTAAATGATCGGGGGACAGCGGGCACATTTGAAAGCGGCAGAACTCTGGCACTCCGCATGAAATTGTATGTGATACGATTACATGCGATTAGGAATAGATCACTGTCCCTGAACGTGTTGATCATGTACCATCTCTTTCTATCAACCATGTTATTCTGTCTTACAGACCAGAACCCGTGTATGCTGCTGTGAAGAGAAAACCATCAACCCCTTCATATACCCCTGCAGAAGGTGAGGGCTCCTAGTGGCTGAATGATGTAGTGCACATGGACAGAGACCGTTTATAAGAGCTCCTTCACATGGGACATTTATCAATTCTTCCTGGGCTATAAGGCAGGCATTCTCTGTACATTGCTAAATCGAATTGTATTAATTAAAAGGAAAAAAAATGCATTGCTTGTTACAGATTATTTGCAGTCTGTAGAAAATGTGCAAAAGTAAATATCGGAATGCCTTATTTGCTGCCTCTGTAACTTCACATGTTCAGTAACACAGGCACACAAGTCATTCAACAGAAAAAAAACATGTAGCACATTGTTCACACCTCATCTGCATTCACTAAAAGTGCGCACATACAAACAGAAGAAAAGATGTCCGCACACTGGATTCTGCTGGAATAGTTTATTGAAGCTTGCACCACATCACTGGTGTCCTGCCCAAGGTCAGCTCCCTCTGACTCTTTTCACCCAATCACAGGCTTATTCGTACAGGTGCATCTCCATGACTAATCCCATGGTTGGGTGAACTGCATCATAGGGTGGCAGGCCTTGGGCGAGACACCAGTGATGTGCTACAAGCTTCAATAAACTCTTGCAGTGGAATCCAGTGTGGGCCCAGCTTTTCTTCTATTTGTATAGGGTCTTATTGGAGCGAACAATGTGCTCCCAGCGGCAAGCACCCTGTGGAGCAATCAGTTTGACTGTGAGCCTATGGCAAAACTGTAGACATTTAAAGATCAATGACCTCTGAAGCTGCAGGCACTGTGAAGCAATTCATACACAAAGTTCACAGCAGAAGGCTTCCCCCTCCCAGACCTCATGCTCTGTGTTTACATTAGATATTAGGAGGCTGTTAAGTTACTGCTGAGAGGGGGAAGGTGAGCTGCTAAATCACTAATGGAAGGGCGAGCAGGGGTTGCTGAGCTACTAAGTCACTGATTAGTGGGGGAGCTAAGCTGCTAAGTCACTGCTGGGTTTGGGAACAGAAGAAGAAGCTGTGCTTGCAGGGAGCACAATTTAAACAACTTCAGTGCTTCTGCTGTGAACTATGAGGTTGAATGGCTCCATAATGTCTGCAGCAAGGCTTGTTTAAAAGCTCATTTATTGCTTATTAAGAATATGTAAATACTTGAATGTATATAGCCTTGCCAGTGGTTTATGCTAATGGTATTTGTAACAATGAAGTATTTCAAACTTGTAAGAGTTAGTAATCCATTGAATGAAGCCAGTTCTGATGACTGAGTACATCATTGTTTTCACTACATTCTAAGGCTGGGTACGTTCCTGGACAAAGTCCAGAGTCACAAGAGTAGTTCACAGCTACTTGTAACTAGGGATGCATCGATATATCGGCCGCCGAAACATATCGGCCGAAAAGTGCACTTTTGGCATATGGCCAAAAGTGCAATTTTCCTGCCAATACATAAGCGCATCCCTGATTTCTTTTCTGCTGGGTGTCCCAGCGGGGAGAAGAGAAAGTTTGATAGCCGGCCGAACGCTGAAAGGAGAGCGGTGTGAGCAGCCGGAGCGTCTCCACCCACACTGCTCAGCCTCCTATCACAGTCCGGCAGAGCGGTGTGTGGGCGGAGACAGTCCGTGCTGTCACAGGAGGCTGAGCTCTCCTCCTTACACCGCTCGCTCAGCCTCCTGTGATAGCGTGTCAGAGAGGAGAGCGGTACAAACACTGAGTGATCAGTGATCACTCAGTGTTTGTAGATAATTGAGGACATGGTATGTGTGCTGTATCCTCAATTATGAATGAATGGGAAGTGATCTACATCACCTCCTGTTCATTCATGATTGTGGTTATAGTAAACATATTCTGTCCTCATGTTATGTATGAATAGGAATACTCAGTATAAAGGATTCCTGTTCATTGATAACAGGGAATACAGAAAAAGAGATTGAGGACTTTGTGTCCTCAATTTTTCCATTTTAAAAGGGAAATATCAGGGTATAAATATAAAAATATATATTTAAAAGTTTATTTAAAAAAATAAAACATTTGAAAAAATAAACATTTTCGGTATCGGTTAAAGTTTCGGCCTGACAATTTTTTTTATTTCGGTTTAGTTTCGGTTTTAAAATTTCGATTTCAGTGCACCTCTACTTGTAACATGTGACTGAGCTTTATATGAATGGGTGAGGGAACTTTGTTCCATAATGCACCAGGAAGAGATAACGGCACAAATATATGACCGACAATCACACTTTAATGAGCTTTGGGCTCCTCGGATTCCAAACATTGATACTGACCACTTTCCATACTTTTAAGCCGAGACCTGACAGCTCCCTTTAATAAGAACCAGCCTATGCTTATCCCCAGGACCATCGCTAATGCATTTCGTGTCACATCTTCCTGCTAGAGATGCACCGATACCATTTTTTCAAGACCGAGTACCAATATTTTTCCTCAAGTACTCAACGATACCAGTTACCGATACCTTTTTAGTGTCATGTGACAGTTTTTCTAAAAAATTACAGAGTAATGATTTTAGGACAGTGGTGGAGCACCAGGGCCCAGTCACAGCTGCAACAGATGCGACCCTGGTACTTCTGACATTGACTCCCACCTACAGGGACTACTAATCTTGACAAATTCTACAACAATGCAGAATACCACCAGCTATAGAGAACTACAAATCCCAGCAACACATTATACAGCAAGGGGTGCATATGGGTCTCACCAGGGTTGCATACGTGTCTCACCAGGGCTGTGCAGTGTCACCAGGGTGCGTCGATCAGGTTTTACCAGAGCTGTTCCGGGTCTCCCCATGGCTGCTTGGGCAGGTGCAGTTTTACCAAGGCTGTTCCGGGTCTCCCCATAGCTGCTCGGGTGGGTGCAGGCAGCGGTAAGGAGGAGGAAGAAATGTGCGGCTGGACTGGTACTGTAAAAGACAGCCGCCGCCGCGACGTCCCTAGTAGGCTGCCTGAGGTCCCCAGCAAGCGTGGGACCTCAGGCAGACGCTTGTGTTTAAAAACTTAAAGCGCTGCTATCTGCGCTTAGTATCGGGCATTTTCACGAGTACTAGTATTATTGCATCCCTACTTCCTACCCTTCTAGCGTCTTTTGTTTTCTGGTTGTGTGCAGTAAGTCTTTATTATTATTATTTTGTAAAAAAAAATATTCACAAATAAAATTAAACTAGTAAGTAAAGGTTATTGCAGAGCCTGATTGTTGGTCACTGAGATGTCTTTATCAAACTCCTTTTGTATGCAGATTTCGTGGCGCTGTACCCGTATTCCAGCACAGAACCCGGTGACTTGACATTTAATGAGGGCGATGTGATCCAGGTGATACAGAAGGATGGCGAGTGGTGGACGGGGACCGTTGGTGACAGAAGTGGGATATTTCCATCAAACTACGTGCGCCCGCGAGATCAGGAGGTAAATACAATGAAAACCAATCTAGCTCCTTTCTACTAAATATATGCATTTGCAGTGGACATTGTTACTCCCATAGTGGACCTTTACCCAACTATTACCCTCTATTATAATACCAGTCCATTGGAAAAGGGACTTTTTTTTTATACCGGTAGTATATTCTTGTACCTTTTTTATAGTGTTTTATGTTTTCTGTGAGCTGCGATCCAAAACGGCAACTATGCATGTTGATAAATTGTATTCAGCCGTATTGAGATTGCCGCCCATACACTGTAATATTATCTTCGTTCAACTCTCAAGCTGAACGAAGAGAATATAACAGATTCCTCCATCAACATTTATGAGTGTTAATCGGGGAATCTCCCACTGTGTGTTCATTGTATTCCGACGGTGGACGAAGATTTTGCAACCAGCTCCTTCAGTCAGCTGATTGAGGGATGCCGGTTTGGAAGAGAGCTCGCAGGAAGCTGATAACTCTATAGAGCAGGTTCAGGATTTATATTAACATTAATAGAATCATTGCTTTTGGTGAGAATTTTGAGATTATGTAAAGGCACATTTACCTTTTCTAATATTATTGATGTTCCTGTGCAAGAACCTCATGGGATGGTGCATATGCTCCAGCCAATAAAGCTGAAATCTGGATTAAGCAAATGTTGTCTAAATAGAGATCGTACATTTAGTTTATGGCCAAGACCTGAGTGTTAAGGTGCCCATACACTGCTCGATTCTCGTACGAGAATCGGGCGAAATCCTGTACCCGTACTGCCCGTACGAGAATCGGGCAGTGTGAACTAAGACATGCGACCGTTTCTACTGTACGGTCGCACGTCTTTTGTCGAGCCAACATGCTCGAAAACCCGCCGAGAATCATACGATTCTGAGCGGGTTTCTAGCCTGCTCGCTCGATAGCTGCGGAACGGGCCGGTGTGCGCACGTGTGCGGTGTGTGCCCGTTCTGCATTGCCGTCATCAGAAGCCCGCCCCTCAGCGGGGCGGGCTTTCGATTATCGCAAGTACGATCTGCCCGTCCAAGGTGGGCAGATCGTACGGGCTTTCAAGAAGCATACGACCATCGCAAGACAAAAGTCTTGCGATGGTCGTAAGGTGTATGGGCACCTTTAGGCACCACACCCCTAAGAACAATGGTAATCGCACTTACCTTAAATGATGTCTCTTAATCTGATCTTCTTCTTCTTTCCTGATGTTTTCATCTGTCCCTCCAGCGGTGCGGCGGCTCTCTGATCCATCGCTGACTTCTCTCTGCTTGCAGGCACTTCTGATCCAGCGGTGTCTGCATGCGGGTGCACGCGTCCATAGACTTACCTTGCGTCTCTGCTCGTCTCCCGGCTGAGAATCCAAACTGCGCATGCGCCCGCCCCAAGATCCTTTGCGGCCGCACGAGCAGTTCCGGATTCTCGCCGCGGGAGCGTGCAGCGATAATCAGGCAAGTTTAAACCGCTGTTAAAGTGGGTTCTTAAAAGCTAGCAGTAGATCTAGGCAAAAAAAACAGATGCTTTAGAACTCCTTTGATCAATATCCTTCATCTCATGAGGAAGCGCTCTTTAGCGTGAAACGTTGACAAACTACGTGACTCCTCCACTTCGAACAATACAAGCACTAATCATGTTCTTACTTTGAATCATGTCATTATGTTTATTGTCTTATTACTATTTAATCATGTACCATCATTGACCTGGCCACTTAGAAGTGGAGCGATTCTCTTTAGGAGATATCTGATTGGAGGTTTTCATGAAAAACATTTTTAAAAGCATTTTAATCATTATTTAAATAAAGACACTTCTTATCTTTGATTGCCTTGGAATTGTCATTTGGCACCTTCAAAACCCCATCTTTTTCTTTTTGCGATTACCATTGTCTAAATAGAGAGGCATGTCTGTTCTCACTTGAATCTTGGACTGCTTTTTCGTATTTCTTCCATATCTGGGCAGTTCTCCAGCATGAATTATCTCCGGTACTTTGCTTTAATACAGACCTGTCACTGCTGCTCTCTCTCCTTGTGCAGGGTGACTGGTCTTTTCTCCGCCCCCTTCCTGTAATAAAGACCGGTCACTGCTGCTCTCTCTCCATGTGCAGGGTGACTGGTCTTTTCTCCGCCTCCTCCCATAATAAAGACCGGTCACTGCTGCTCTCTCTCCATGTGCTGGGTGACTGGTCTTTTCTCCGCCCCCTTCCTGTAATAAAGACCGCTCACTGCTGCTCTCTCTCCTTGTGCAGGGTGACTGGTCTTGTCTCCGCCCCTGCTGTTGTTTTCTGCCTGTAGTGGGTAGGGGCCTTCTGGGTCCCTTCTTACAGCTCTTCTCATTGCTACTCTTACAAGCCATTATTTGGGTTTGCAATGTTTAGTGTACAAACGCACACACTTAGATCCTGTGCGTATTGATGAATATATATTCAAATGAAAGTTTTTTTGTTCGGCTTTAAACTGCAGTGTCAGGTATACATTTTATACAGACATGCCTCCCTACATGTTAGGTAAATATTGCAGTGAAATGACAGCTTGGAGGGAATCCAGGTACAGCTTTCTTTCCATTGAGACAAGTTTTCCATTTTTCTCACCTGTAGGGTCCAAGCAGTGCTGGAAAAACTGGGACATTAACCAAAAAGCCTGGTAAGTACATCTTTGAAACATTTAGGTGTTTCATAAAGCTTCTGTAGTGTGAACAAAATACACACTGATGTTCTTCTGTGTTTAATGTCGGTGTTTTTATTCATTTTGTTCCTCAATAGTGAAAGTGGATATTATCCATAGACATTGCGCTTTCTATTGCAGAGATTGCTCAGGTCACCACCGCGTACACTGCGACAGGATCAGAGCAGCTTAGTCTGGCTCCAGGGCAGCTGATACTTATATTAAAGAAGAATGCATCAGGATGGTGGCAAGGTGAATTGCAGGTATGTGATATATATATAAGATGTACTTGTATAATGCCAAGGAAGCTTTCCTTGAATAATGTGATGTAGCCGCCTGAATGCACTGTACAATCATTCAGGTGCTTAGGCTGGCCATGCACCATTAAAATCTAACATTGGGTAGCCTTACTGGTTTGACAAAAGTTAATTACGCAATTTAATTTTGTCGAAGGGGCCAAGTCGAATGTTTTTGGCCAAACAGTGACTTCAGCCAATTAGTTGCAGTTAATCTTCATGTGTTCTGACAGCAGCAGGCATCGGCTGTCAGAATACGATAGCTACAATAGAATACAATACAATAGCGAGTGGTCCATTCATGCTGTTTTGCATGGATTTTTTTTTTGTTCTGCAAACAAACTCTATTACTGTATAGCTAGCTTTACATGCCAAGAATGTGCCCTAGGAACCCCCTAAACCCTGGTGCTCTAAGAAACGTGTAGAACTGGGCTGCCGCTTCCTATTAGATTGTGATGTGATAAACCAGCATTTCTCAACATTTTTTCATATAGAGCACCCTTTAAATGTATACAAAATCTTGAGGCACCCCAGTTAAAAATGTGAAAAAAAAAACTGTGTGGTCCCTCCATAATCCATATCAGATCCTTATCCCAGATAGGAGTCTTGTAAAGATTTTTAAAAGGGGGACCCCATGCAAATACACATCACATCAGGTGCCCATCTCTACATTAAGAGCCTCCATCACGTCAGGAGCTCCCTTTTTTACACCAAAGTCACCCCTTTCACATTAGAAGCCCCCCTTCATGTGAGAGCCCCCTCCTTTTACATCAGAGTTCCCCCTTTTCATTAGAAGCCTGCCTGCATGATAAAAAGATATGACACTGTGCAAAAATGTTGAGGCACCCTAGGGTATCCTGGCACTCTGGTTGAGAAAGGTTAAAAAAGGTTAAACAAAGCAGCACTTGTGATTTTACCTACATTGCGCTCTGACTGCTACTTTATTCTGGGAGAAGAGAGGGTCTTTCTATATCCAATTGCTAGCTGTGATTCTGCTCCTGTTCAGAGCAAGGTCTTCCCGGTCGTCACGTACCACTTCTACATCTATTTCTATCAACTCTGCCTCCATGCTTTACCCTGACTATGGCTGCAGATTCACATGATACAAGTGCACCCTTGCTGAGGCATATAGGCATATAGAGGTGGATTTATGAGGACTTTATTGATGTCCTGGTGCCACCTAATTAATTTCAATGATTACACCAGACCTTGTTTTCAAACTATAGCCTGCTTTTTCCCATTACTCATCTTTTAAAATCCGTGTCCACAGTAATAACTGTTATTGTAATTAGCCTATGTCATTTATTTTACAATGGATGCAATCTTTCCAGGCACGAGGGAAGAAGAGGCAGAAGGGCTGGTTTCCAGCTACCCACGTCAAGTTATTAGGACCAACTAATGACAAGACAGCTCCCGCTTTCAACCCAGGTAGGAATTTACTTGCTGATAAAATAATAATAATAAAAATACGAAGAACAAATATACATCGCTGACAACTCTACCCAACAGTTCAGTGTGGGGGGTGGCTGCACCAGAAAAAAATGAATTGTTAGTGAGATTGTTGCATACTGTCTGATAAGGTGCCAGTATTAGCTGTGTATCTTCAGAGAAAAGTCAACTTTAGATGTCTTTTGTCTTTGTGTTTTTTCTTTTCACTTTTAAGACCAGCAAGCATCTGAAAAACAAATCTAGATTTTATCCCATGTCTTAATGTATAGATGAAGTTACCGATGTCTCTGAAGGTTCTCATTCATCCAGGTCATGGTATATCTGTAAAAAATAAATCAAGGCAACTGGACTTGCTGTATTTTTCTTGAAGACATTTCACTGGTCATCCGACTAGCTTTTCTCTCAAGAGGAATGACCAGCGAAACTTCTTCAAGAACAAAAATATACATTTATCAAAACTGGAGCAACTGCTCATAGTAACCAATCAGCTTCTCTCTTTCAATTTCAAAGATTAACTGAACAAACTGAAGAGAGAAGCTGATTGTTTTCCATAGGTAGCTGCTCTAGTTTTGATGAGAACAAAAATAGGCGAGAAGCACCATAACAAGGCAAAATAACTTTTTATTGGGTAGAAGCACGCGGTGTGGATAGGGGTGTTGATGATAAGCCAGGTGGGTTGGCCTCGTTTGGAGTGCTGGAGCATTTGCATGCTCTCACCTGTATCATTTTCACCCCACTCTTCAACTCCCTCCAGCATCAAACGCGAGAAGGACCAGTCATCACCATCACGCCAATCCTCAACACCAGCACCCCAAACGAGGCCAACCCTCCTGGCCTACCAACAACACCCCTATCTAAAACGCATGCCTCTGCCCACTAAAAAAGTATTTTGCCTGGTTGTGGCGCTTCTCTCTCCTATTTTTGTTCTCCTCCTACACATGTTGGATACCCTGGTCCGCACACACAGGAAGCAGCATACCAACTAATACCAAATCTGCCCTCCCTCTTGTCCCCCGGAGAGCACTGTTATACTGGACTGTTCTTTTAACTTTTCATTTTCCAGTTTTGAGTCCAGTTGCTTTGATTTCTTTTTTCTAAGTTACCGGTATACTGTGTAACAATCCAAGTCTGATGCATTCATTCAAAGCTTAGTTAGATGCAGAAGATTGTCCCTTTAGAGTCAATTGCTGTAAATATTCCTTATTTGTAGTTCCGGAGCTGCTTTGGAAACCTAGCACTGGCTGGTACCTCATGTGGAACATGTGCTGGTGGTGCCTGGAATCTGGCACATTGCAGCTACAGTGAATGGAGCCATGAAGCTTCCTGCTTCGGTAATAGGGCTGACGGTGGTGTCATTTGATATTGCATTGGTGATATGTAATATCATAAATGTAGATGCAACTGAGATTTAGGGGAGTTCTTCTTTAAAGATAAGGTACATAGCCCAAGAATCTTGGGTTTTTAACTTGAGAACTGATTTACCCTTTCTGAGCTGAGAGTCTTGTCTCTTTCCTCTCCTAGTGTGTCAGGTCATAGCAATGTATGAGTATGTCGCCAATAATGAGGATGAACTGAACTTCAACAAAGGACAGCTCATCAATGTCATTAGCAAAGACGATGCAGACTGGTGGCAAGGAGAAATCAACGGGGCCACCGGGCTATTTCCTTCCAACTACGTCAAGATGACAACAGAATGTGACCCCAGCCAGCAGTGTGAGTACCTCTTCCTTTCTGTATTGCCTTGATGGCCTATTTTGCTGTACTTGTGTAGTGTTACTGTGTTAAGCAGAAGGAGTCCAAATGTAGCAGAGTAGCTTAAGCTGGTTTTAACCATCCAACCATCCAGCCATAGATATAGCAGTGCAATCAATGTTGTTACACATGAATGGCCACACTTCAATGCTAGATACTGGGGGTGGGGGGAGCAGAGGTTGACGTCCTCTGGCTTTTGGCCGCATCTCAGAGAATGTTGAGTAGCCCATATCGCGTCCCGTACTGTAGCTTCTTCCCACAATATTTGGGCTACTCGGCATTCCCTGGAATCTTGTTGGAAGGGTGATGACATCACCCTCTGCACCACGAAGTCGGGCAAATGCGAGTATATTATCTAACTATGTTTCCCCTCACAAAAACTTTTCAGGAGTATTTATGTAGTATTTTACAGAGGGGGGCACCTTGGTCCACTTTTAAGAGAACTTTCACTTTTAACTGTTTTAAAAGTTCCTTGTTCATTTTCCAAAATCATTTATGGTACTATTTTGGTTGTTCACAAAGATTCTCCACCCTTTTCTCCTAAAATTATGTTCTACGACATTTTTAAAAACTAACCCCCCTACTCCTGATTGGTCTTTTATACAAAGTATCATTCTGTAAACCTGCGTTAGATTATATTGAAACAATGCTTACAGGTACAGGAAATGAACCCGTGTGTTGTTGGATATATTATTTAGGGATGGGAATACACTTGTTACTAGCATGCTGTTGTGGGCCCCCTCTCTTCCTGCAACCCCACCCCCCGTTGTGCCTCCCCTGCACCCCCCTTGGCTGTGGTTTTCATGTCCCCCTGTATCAGAATGGAGAGCGGGAGCAGACAGGGGAAGGTCCGTTCCCCAATCTGCTCGGAGATCAGTGGAGCATAAAGTGCTCTCACATATAGGGGAAGGCATACATTTGCAGTGACGCCGCGACCCACTGCAGAGGGTGTCGCGACCCACTTTTGGGTCGCGACCCACGAGTTGAGAACCACTGATCTAGAGCATTTATATTGCTTTTATCAGTTTTTTCAAAAGCAGAATTAATGCTGTTGTAATCACCGAAAACTTGGAGGATCATGGGGGCCAGCATATGCTCATGCAAGTATCAACCATTAGAAAGTCGCTATCTGCATATTACATTTGGGGAGGGGACTACTGTCGCCTGTCCAGTGCTGCCAGTTGTTTTCCTTTCAAACGTTTTTTATTGAATTTTAACATTGTTAGTAAAACATACATCTTGGCATACAAAACAAAATAAGAATCACATATGAATATAGCATTCAAATACAGAAAGCTTTATTAATTTAGTATCTGGAGCTTCCCTTCGCGATCCACCATCTCCACGTATTGGAAGTCGAGAGTAAGCGAAACCAGAGGATTTGAAGAGTAGAAGAAAGAAAAGTATAGGCAAAAGTAAAGACCTGATGGCGTCAAGATCCCCCCAGGCAAGAGCGGGTCAATCAAAGGGTTGTTATACTTTCAGAAGGAATATCGGGATGGGCATACGTTATCCAAGGGTCCCAAACCTTCGTGAATTTCACTTGGGTATCCAAAACGACACTGGACAATTTTTAATTGATGAAAAAGGAATCAATTCTACGTTGCACACCAGGAAAGGGAACAAATTGTTTCTTTCATGTCTGCGTTATTGCTTTTTTGGCAGCTAGGAGAACAAAAACTGCCAGTTTGTGCTGAGCCTCTGTGAGGTTTGGGGGTTTAAAGGAGAACTATGGGGTCAGGGCTTTTCCCTATAGTTCTCTTCACAGTTTGGCTAGAACTATGAGGTGAGTGAAAAGCACTCACCTCATAGTTCTCCTTTTAAGGTGTAAGAACGTGAACCAGGAATCTTTGACGATACTTGTGCTTTATACTTCTCCCCACTCCCTCAGGTTTAAGGCCTCATTCACATAAGTGGTAAAAGCTAGTAGATCAGTGTTTTTCCTCCTCTCCCTCTCTTGAGCGTCCACCTGCAATTTTACATGGTAAACAGTCAGGGTGGTATACATGGTTGTGGCCTTGAAGCTTTGTCGGGCTTCACGGCGTCTCGCGTTTGGCACGTAAGATCATTGAAGTCAATGGTAATGTGCCACAAACGCATGCCCAAGCATTTTGGGAGCGGTATTTCTATGCAAAAGGTGGCCTCTGTTATTTATAGTTTCATTTTGTTGCAGTTTAGTGGGATTCTTCCATAGTGTTTCTGTGTTGGCATTTCATAGCACATGCAGCTCGGCTTGATGTGGTTTGATTTGGTTCACTTGAAATAACCTAATACATGTGTACATGGGGGCAGCCGTATTTGCTCATTACATATGCTGTCTTTGTCTCCAGCTTAGTAGGACTTCACAGTGAATGTGGCTTACCGCTCCTCTCGCTCATTGCAAGTCTATGAGTTAGGTCTGACCAGATAGAAAGAAATAGACTCGCTATAAGGCCAGCCGAGTTAGTCCTAAAGCCGGGTATACACGGTACGAATTTCGGCCAGTTACATAGGTGGAAAAAAAGACACAAGTCCATCGAGTTCAACCTAAAGAGATAAGAGGAGAAAGAAAAAAGAGAAAGAAAGAAGAAAAACCCTATGCCCTCTAATCACACAGCAAAAATGTCAAAAGTGTGTCAGTCATTTACGAACAGAAACTAAAAACAAGCTCAGTCATGAAGGGGTTAATATACCTATAAGAACTCAATATCCAGCAATATTCTGTGCATTTAGGAATACATCCAGATTTTGTTTTAAACAATTAACTGAGCTCGCTAGAACTAGCTCCTGGGGGAGTCTATTCCACATTTTCACAGCTCTAACTGTGAAGAATCCTTTCCGTATGCAAAGGTTAAACCTCTTTTCCTCCAGACGCAAATAATGTCCCCTTGTCCTTTGCAGTGAATAATTTGACACCAACCTCACTATACGGACCATTTATGTATTTATAGATGGTGATCATGTCCCCCCTTAGTCGCCTCTTCTCCAGAGAGAACAAATTCAGGTCATCTAACCTTTCCTCATAGCTGAGCTCCTCCATGCCTCTTATGAGTTTGGTCACCCTTCGCTACACTTTCTGCAGTTCCACAACATCCTTTTTGTGAACTGGTGCCCAAAACTGAACTGCATATTCCAGATGAGGCCTTACTAATGCTTTGTACATGGGCAGGATAATGGCTCTATCTCTGGAGTCTAGAGACCCCGTATGATACAAGGAAGTATTTTGCTTGCTTTAGAAACTGTGGCCTGACATGGCATGTTATTATTGAGTCTATGATCTACCAGAACACCTAGATCTTTCTCCACCATTGACTCCCCCAAACATACTCCCCGTAGAGTGTATGACACATGCACATGTTCAGTCCACAAGTGCAGAACTTTACATTTATCAACATTAAAGAAGATCTATGAGGTGAGTGATTTCCACTCATCCTCATAGTAAGAGCCAACCTGTGACAAAGAAGCTGTCACAGGTCGGCTCTATTGATCAGGAAGTGAGCAGAAACATGCACCGATCCGCTCACTTCCCGATCATTTCCCTGCAGAGAGAGGTGACTGTCAGGCACCCCTTCCCGCAGGGATTCCCCCTCTCCGTTCCTCCAGCTCTGACTGGAGGAACGGACGGGGGAGGGGAAGGGTACAGCTGGCTCTGCCTCTAGATAGGCAGAGCCAGCTGTCACTGGCTCAGCTGGGTGGATCTCGACAGTAATGTCAAGATCCGTCCCGGCTACGGCGCTCTCAGTATATCACGGGCAATAGCCCTCTATATACGGAGCTTTGGGTAGGACCCTAAAGAGAACTATGGGGAAAAAACACTTACCCCATAGTTCTCTTTTAAACCTCATTTGCCACATAGATGCCCAATCACATATTGCATTCACTTCCCGAGGCTGCGTGGCTTCCTGACCAATCAAAAAAGCTGGGCGGCACCTCATTACTTGGTTAGGAAGCCAGGCTGCCTAGCAACAAGTGAAGCAGGCTTCCTAGCCAATCAGGAAGCCGGGAGGCGGGTCATAACCCACCGCCTGGCTTCCTGGTTGAAAAGGAAGCTGGCTCCATGCTCCCTCTGACCAGAAGTTCCAGTATCGGGGTCAGTATCGGAGCATTTGGGCGAGTACGAGTACTCGCCGAATACTCAATATAGATACCGATACTAGTATCAGTATCGGTGCATCCCTGTTAATGATTTTATTCAAATTAATAAAACCTTTGACAGAAATGTGAACTTTTTTCTTACTCTGTCCAAAACTAAACAAATTGGCTGCTCTTTATAACTGCCTTTCTCAACTTTTTTAACACAAAGGAACCTTTTTAATAACTTTCTGGTCTCGGGGAACCCCTGCAAATAATTCAGTAGATTAGTTTTGGTGGTCAGTAGCAAGAATGCTCCCAGCATTGGTGATCAGTTGGAAGAATGCCTCCTACATTGGTAGATAGTGGGAAGAATGGTGCTTACATTGGTTGTCAGTGGGAAGAAGAATGCTCCATACATTGGTGGTCAATGGGAAGAATGCACCTTACATTGGTGGTCAGTGGGAAGAATGCCCCTTACATTGGTGGTCAGTGGGAAGAATTCCTCCTTACGGTGGTTGAGGGAAGAATTCCTCTTACATTGGTGGTCAGTGGAAAGAATGCTCCATACATTGGTGGTCAGTGGGAAGAATGCTCCTTACATTGGTGGTCAGTGGGAAGAATGCCCCTTACATTGGTGGTCAGTGGGAAGAAGTATGTTCCATACATTGGTGGTCAGTGGAAAGAATTCTCCATACATTGGTGGTCAGTGGGAAAAAGTATGTTCCATACATTGGTGGTCAGTGGAAAGGATTCTCCATACATTGGTGGTCAGTGGGAAGAAGTATGTTCCATACATTGGTGGTCAGTGGAAAGAATTCTCCATACATTGGTGGTCAGTGGGAAGAAGAATGCTCCACACATTGGTTGTCAGTGGGAAGAAGAATGCTCCATACATTGGTGGTCAGTGG